TAGCTCCATCCATCCATCCATCCATCCATCCATCCATCCATCCATCCATCCATCCATCCATCCATCCCATCATCTTTACCCACTTCTTCCTTTTTGGGTTGTGGGGGTCATTGGTGTCCATATCCAGCAGTCACCGTTCAAGAGGCGGGGTACACCCTGGACAGGTCTCCAGTCCATCACAGGGACGTATAGAGACAAACGAGACATCCAACCATTCACTCTCTCACTCACACCTGTAGGGACAGTTTAAATGAACTGTACTTATGTAGCACCTTTCTGTCCAATCAAGATACTGGGAGCACTTTACAACACCATCAGTGCCCTCATTTACCTCCACACACGTTCCTACAGCACTCTACTGCATCTCTACAAAGCTGATGTGAACAAATCAAACTCAGCCACAGCTGCCTCACAAATAGTTACCAATCAGCCTAACATGCATGTTTTTGGTCTGTGTGAGGAAACTGGAGTACCTGGAGAAAACCCACACATGCACAGAGAGAACATGCAGAAAGGTCCCCAGTCAGGATTCGATCCGGCAACCTGCTCGTTAAATTTGGTTACACATTGATTAACACAAGTAGGCTCACAGAAACCAAACAAATCTCACATTTGGAGATCAAATATGAAGAGTGGCATTTATAGGAATAAGCTCAGCGGTGCTGCACTCCGGCTGTGGTTCTTAGAAAGGTATTTTGACGCAGAGCTGTGCTGCACGTCACCATCTTTGCATGAACTTAATGAGTTGGAACAAAACCTAAGGACCAGTTGACAGAAACAAATGACCCAACATCATGGAACACAATACAAACAGCTGAGGTGCTGGTTTTCTGCTCCGTGAGTTCAAGCCACTCGTGTTTTTGTGACAGCAGGGCACCTTTGTTTAGTTCACTCTGTGATTTAATTGTTGCAAAAAAAACATCGTGATCCATTTTTCTTCTGCACTTTTTTTTGGTATCGTTCTCGTTCCACAATTTTTGATCTATTTCAACAAATCATAAATCAAAACGTTCAGCTCTTTCAGGACAACCCTGCCGTGACTTTTGGTATTGGTGCAACTTTAGCTTGTTGAAATATTTAGCCTTTTTTTTCTTATAGAAAATGAATTGAGCTCATTTTACATCCTTCAAATCTGTAGATCTGTTTACCTTTTACTTCTTCTTTCACATTTTCTTCTGCTTCAGATTCTTTCAGCTTCCTTCTGCAAATTTTAACTTTTTTTCAGCTAATTTCAGCTGTTTTGTTTCAGCTGTTTTGTGCTCCTTTCAGATTCTTTCTACTAACTAAAACGATTTTAGTACTTCTAACTTTTTCCTTCTAATTTTAGCTTATGCTCCTTTCAGCCAATTTCTGCAATTTTCAGCTTTTTTTCTGCTATTTCAGCTACTATTTAGCTGTTTCTATGCTAATTTTAAACCTTTTTCAGCTAATCCCACTTTTTTGCACTCAAATTTTTTCAGCCTAATTCAGCAAAAACATGCTCTCTTTACATCCTTCTGGTAATTTAAGCTTCTTTCTGCGATTTTAGCTACTTTTCTGCTGTTGTGCTAATTTCAGCTTTTTTCAGGTAATTTCCACTTGTTGGTGCTCATTTCTGCTTCTTTCAGCCTAATTGGGCAAAATTGTGTTCTCTCCACTTCCTTCTGCTAAATTTAAGCTTCTTTCTGCAGTTTCAGCTACTTTTCAGTTATTTGTGCAAAAATCAGCCTTTTTATTTGGCAAATTTCCTAATTTTTGTGCTAATTTCTCTTTATTTAAAGTTCAGGAAATGTGTTTTTTCTGCTAATTTAGGCTTGTTCTTTCATTTCTGCTACATTTCATCATGTTTTAGCTAATTCCAGCTGTTTTTCAGCAAGTTCTTCAGCATTCACTGCATTTTTGCAGGAATGCAGTTTTTTTAGTTAACTGTTGAACTTGATATCCTGCCTGCAATAACTAAAAGACGATGGAGGAAAGTTCCTGGTTGAGACTAAATCACACTTTCTTTTTATGCTTTTATTTGTCTTAAGCATTTTTCTCTCTCTCCAGTCTTCCATCAACGATGGCGCCGAGTTCAAAGCTGTGGCCGATGCCATGAAAGTGATCGGTTTCACAGGAGACGAGATTCAAACTGTTTACAAGATCCTGGCCACCATCCTACACCTGGTAAAACCAGTTAAACCCAAGTCCTGCTCTGTTCTTACACCAGCTGTGGCCTGGTCTGGAAACACTGTTTAAACTGGTCTTACTTGTCAGCAGAGACGAGCTGAAGCACCGTGTTTCAAATATTACCTACATATTGTGTGGATCGTGAGAGCAGACAACGGTTTCAGTTTCTTTTTTCTTTCTGACCAGTTTCTAACAATTACCAGAAAATGTCCTTTAAACATTTACTTCCATGATTCTTATCAAATGGTGTTTTTTTTCCTTCTTCTGCTTTTCTTTAGTAAATGTCTGTTAAAGGAGTAAAGGTCTTATTGAGGTTACCTACGAAATTACAGGAAAAGCACCGGCTTAGCACGGTGCGCTTTATTATTATTTTTTATTTTTTTCACCTCCTGAACCTCCAGTTTATAATTGTCATATTTTTAGTGGTAATATATGAAACTCGTAAAATGTTAGATTCAGCAGGAGATTATTTAAAAAAAAGAAAACCCATGATTCGTAATTCTTTGTCTATAAATAATACACTAAAGGAAAAAAATGGCTACATAAAAAATCCAATTTTTTACGATTCAGATTTTAAAAAAACTAAGTAATCTTAGATTAAGTTGGGGTACACTCTAATGTTAATTACACTTTGAAATCCAACCAGTCTCCTGACATTTATAATATTCTCCTTGTTAGTGTCACAGCAAGATTTTAAGAGCTATTAACACATTATTTAGGTTACATGTCTCTAAAGGACATTTTATTATCATTGTAAAGTTTTCATTTTCACAAGTGATTCCAAACGCTGCCGATTATTCATGACTAACTCCCACAGCATGTTCAGCTAATGTGAAGGAGTTCATTTAAAAAAACACTCCAGTTGTCCCAACATGTTATTGAATTTGAAGATTAGTTAGATTTTTTTTGTGTGTGTAAGAAACTATAATCGCTAAAATATTTATCTTGTATGACAGTCAGGCCAATAAAAGTATTTGTTGTACTAAAAAATCAAAGCTTTTTCTGAGTTCTGGACAGAGTTAAATAAAATGTGCTCTTGGCTGTTTTTATATATATATATATATATATATATATATATATATCCCGGACGAGCCCCCAGTTGATTGTTACGCCTGGTCCAGGATTGGCCAGAACATAACGTAATGGTGATCCTAACTTCTGCACAAGTCAAGCAGCCACAGAAAGGAGAGGGTAGATTTTAGATTTTTTTGGTTTAGTGGTTTAGTCCTGTACTTGCCGCCGTACACGCCGCACCGCTGTATAAGTCGCATCAGTCCAAATATGTCTAATAAAGTGGAAAAAATCCTTAAATGCGTTGTTTCGCCTTATACGTCGCATCTATTATGCGTCACCGCTGACAACCAGGAAATGTGGGCCGGTGTTGTGCCAAAAATCGATTGGCTGCCAAATGGCGGCCGCGGGAGCGTTCACAGGACTTTAACAAGAATTTAACAAGATTAACACTTAAAAACAATTATTTGACTGCTCAAAATTATATCAAAGTTGTGTCTCAGTTTAACTTTTCCTTAATAAATGCACTTTAACGGCCAAATCAGCTGCATCTCAAAAGCCGATTTGCGGGAGTGCGCAGAGGGAGGACTCGCTGTGCATTTCATCGAAATTTAACAAGATAACCACCTAAAAACAATTATTTGTTTGCTCGACATTCTAGTAAAGTTGCGTCTCGGTTGAACTTTTCCTTAATAAAAAGACTTTAATGGTCAAATCAGCTGCATTTCACCACAATTTGACGTTTGCTCCAGGAGTTCGAGTGAGAAGAAGGTGCTTTGTATGGAAAGCCAAGTGTCTCATTAATAGCCACTTTTACCTATCAATGAGACACTTGGCTTGCCATATTACTTGAGGGCCCTTTAGTGACTGAAAATGGTATTGTTCAATATTTTTCTTGTCACAGGGCATGCTAATTTATGCAAAAAACTGTGACTTATACAGCAAAATTTATGGTATTTTACAAAATGGTCTCTTGCCTGCATCAGGGAGAGCTAAGAGCAAAATACCAAACAAAATGTAAACTATCTTTTTTTTTTTACTTGTATACAAAATAAAAATAAACAAAACACACATTTCTTACCTACCTGGACTAAAAAAGAAGAGAAAAAGATCCTCAAATACACGGCCCCTACAGCACAGTGGGTCAGGTGGCTGGTTGGGACCAGCACCTCCCATCAGGCAGCTAATCCCAGTTCAGCTCCTTGGTTTTCACATCGTGGCTCGCTACCTGACCTGGACACTAATTAACAGACGTCAGATTCACAAACATACACAAAACTCTACACAGCCACAGTGGTAACACTACAGCAGAAGTTTATAATGCAGAACTCTTCAGTTCAGTTTTGTACCTACAAAAGCATGGCAGTGGAAGTATCATGTTATGGAGCTGATCCTTGATGTCAGAGCTCAGAAATTGAGAAGTCACTGAGGCAAAAAGGAAAAATGGGACAATAATATTTAACGCACCAACAAATCTTTCAAGAGATGTCTCAAAAATAAGGTGTTATTGAAAGGTGAGTCTCTGCCGAGATGATTTGTAGAGTTTCCAAACTGTCGGTATGTGGAAGAAAAGCGCCCAAAGAACTTGTAAATAAGGCTTTTGCATAGAGGAGTCCAGGCGACACATTTGGTACGCTCATGTTTGAGGCCGCAGAACTTTTATGTAAAACACCAACAAATTTTTGTTTTGTGACTAATGGTTTCTGAAGCTGAATGCTCTTTTTGAGGAAATAACAACAAAAAATACTAAATTTTCAAGCAATTAGAAAGCCAAGTACCATATTTTTTACCCCTATAAGTTGCAGTTTTTTGCATAATTTGCATGCCCTGCCACTTAAGACGCCAAAGCGACTTATTTATGAGTTTTCCATATTTATAAACCAAGTTTTCATTCATTCTGGCTGAAAATATTGAACACTACCATTTTTCAGCCGCTAGATGGCACTCGAGTAATATGGCATGCTGTTGTATCATGTAATAGGTAAAAGTGGCTATTAATGACACAATCGGCTTGCCATACTCTGCCGCCTTTGTCCAGCTTGCCTGGAGCAACCGTCAAATCAGCTTCAATTCACTGCGCCGTCCCGGCAAAATGCAGCTAATTTGACCATTGAAGTACATTTATTCAGTAAAAGTTAAACTGAGACACCTTTACTATAAAGTCGAGCAAATAAATAATTGTTTTTAGGAGTTAATCTTGTTAAATTCTTGTTTAAGTCCTCACGTGCACGCTCCTGCAGCCACCATTTGGCAGCCAATTGATTTTTGGCACAACACCATCCCATATTTCCGGGCGGTCGGCGGTGACGCGTAATAGATGCGACGTCTTTATGGATTTTTTTTATTAGACGTATTTGGACTGATGTGGTGCGACGTGTACGGCAGAAAATACAGTACTTTTTCTTATAAACACTCATTCATAAAGGAATAAAACTCTTAATTGTTTCGCTATGTTGAAGAAGTTGCCACTTTTCCAATGGGGATGGTTTATTTTGTTCACAGGTATGAACAATGTTCATGGTATATTAGCTATTAAATAGTTTATTCTGGATTTATTACTTTTGTCAGATTAAAGTGCATCAATGTCTTCTGTATTTTAATTTTTTATTTCCCCCCCACAGGGCAACCTGGCGTTCGGAGTGGACGGCGACGTGACCCTGATCGAAAACACAAAGCTGGTTTCTGTGATCAGGGAGCTGCTTTCCACTAAAGAGGAAAATGTGGAGAAGGCTCTGCTTTACCGCACGGTCGCCACGGGCCGAGACGTCATCGAGAAGCAGCACACGACTCAGGAGGCCAGCTATGGGCGAGACGCTCTAGCCAAGGTTATTTCTGAGCACAAGCTGTTTGTTATTTCTGTACCTAAATGAAAGAGACATGGAGACCAGTGCCTGTCACCCAGTCCCTGGTGCTGCTCTAAAATGCCTCAGTGGTTCACACTGGGACTGCAGACCAGTTCAGTGGACTCGGCTGCTGCAGGACCCACACGGTCAGGCAGTGAATTAAATAGAATAAACTGTGAATTATTGAAATCTAACTACCAGTACTCCTGCCTATTGTACTAATTTAACCCGTTATATACCAAAACATTTACAATGACTTTTTGATTTTTGTGACTTTTAGACTTTTTAAAGTATTTTTCCCATAAAATGCATTTAGATCACTTCAACTTATACATAACTTGAAATCTGCCTAAAATGTTTGCTCCATTTCGCTCTTACTTTTAGCAAATAGCTAGCCTTTTGCTACTTTTACAATCAAGCTAGCCTCTAGAAAAGTTAGTCGTTTGATACTTTAAGTTTTTATTCAGTTTTTTTGTTATTTTAGCTGTTAGCTAGCCTTTTGCTACTTCAGCATCTAGCTAGCCTTTTGATATTTTTAGTTAGTGGTTTGATACTGAGTATTTTACACTTTTTATAATTTAGCATTTAGTTAGCCTTTTTGATTATTCAGCCTTTTACTACTTTGAGCTTTTAGTCAGTGTTTGCCAATTTTAGCTTCTATCTAGCCTTTGGGGTCCTTTTAGCTAGCCGTAATAGTTTTCATATTTTTAGGTTTTAGCTGACATTTTTATACTTATAACTAGCCTTTTGCAATAATTTATTTGAGTTTTGTTAAATTTAGCTTTAAGCTAGTGTTCTGCTGCTTCTAGCTTTAAAACCCTAATTTCACCTTTTAAGCAAGTTTCAGCAAAGTTTTTAAATCTGCTTTCTTTAGTTTGTTGATGCGGTTTTAGTTATCCGTTCCCGTTAAGTGTTCGTCCTGGATTTCTCGGTTTGATTTGCGAGCAGCCGATTAACCCAACGCGCTTTCATCGTTTGTCGTCCTCAGGCGATGTACGAACGACTGTTCTGCTGGATCGTCGGGCGCATCAACGACATCATCGAGGTGAAAAACTACGACGCCAGAATCCACGGGAAGAACACGGTCATCGGCGTTCTGGACATCTATGGTTTTGAAATTTTCCAAAACAACAGGTGTGGATGGGAAAGAACGATCTGCTTTTCAAACTTCAAGTGTAAAACTTTATTATTGATCGTTTTTAAAGAAACGGATTTGGATCGATAAATTCTTCGCAGAATGTTGACAGTTCTCAACATTTATCCTGTTCTTGTTTCTTAACTAGCTTTGAGCAGTTTTGCATCAACTACTGTAATGAGAAGCTGCAGCAGCTCTTCATCCAGCTGGTGCTGAAGCAGGAGCAGGAGGAGTATCAGAGGGAGGGCATCCCCTGGAAACATGTATGAAGGAGTTTTTATTCAATCGTTTTAAACTTTTTCCTCATTTTTCCAATTTTCATTCTGATAATTAGCTTTTTTTTAAATGAGCCTTTGGGAAACGGTTCTTTCTATCAGCTGAGTCTGGTCTAAACTGTTTATTTCCTGTGGTTATGGCACAGAAATGGTGAAAAGTGTTTGTAGTGTTTTTAGGAGAGAAAAACAAAGAATGCTTTAACATGTGGGTTGTATGAAAAGGAACTAGTTTAATGACAAACGTGGGGTTAATTGTGTTTTTGTTTATGTAATTTTGAGATTTATCTTGTATAGAAGGGCTTAAAAAGCACTTTTACTTGACTTCCAGCAGATTAGATGAGTATGTCCATCCATCCATCCATCCATCCATCCGTATTTTCAAGTCTGAATTCAGACGATTGCATAAAAGAGAATATAAGATGGGGTTAAAATAATTTATTGAATCCTGGTGAATATAAATATTGTAGTGTGTAAATTTATTTTTTATGTATTTTTATTAGACATTTCGTAGCATTTGCTTGTTATTGTACGAGGAGTGCTAAGACCCGTTTGCCTGAATAATGGGTTCTGCTCAGTAACTTGTTGTCGTTGTGGCTCTGTTTTGTTGTGGGCGTGTGATGTCGTTTCCAGTGGACCTGCGGTTGGAGTTTTGCCTCAGATTCTCCCACTTTTATTATTCAGATGTTAATAAAGCCTCGTTCCTTCCAGACCAAAGTCATAAAACATCAACGCCAAGCTAAACTCATAAAAACATAAAACCTGACGCCTTTTTTTAAGACTTCTGTCGTGTTGCTTCGTCGTGTTTCAGAAGGGGACTAAGTCTTCTCTGTGTTTTTTAATAGATTGATTACTTCAACAATCAGATCATTGTGGACTTGGTGGAACAGCAGCATAAAGGCATCTTCTCCGTTCTGGACGAAGCCTGCATGAACGTGGGCAAAGTCACCGACGAGGTTTTCCTTCAAGGGCTCAACGTCAAGCTGGCAAAGCACCCCCACTTCACCAGCCGCAAGGTGAGACCGAGACCAGGCCCGACTTATTCTAACAAGGACGGAAACGATAAAGCTGCTGCGTGCTCCACAAACTCTATACGAGTTTGAAGTGATTTGAGGGTTACACCTCGTGTTGGCTTCATTAGATCATTATACCACCCCCCCACCTAAAGGTGAAGTTGGACAGTAATGTTCTTTGCAAGTGTGACAACAGTGTAACTGTTTTTTATACACGCAAATGATCGAATTATGTTACGGCACCAATCGTCCGTCCGTCAGCTCCTCGTTCACCTTTTATAAAGAATTTCATGAAACTCGGTTGGAAGTACATTAGACCCTCGTTTATTGCGGGTGTTTGGGACCGCGCCCACCTGCGATAAGTGAAAACCACGAAGTAGCGATACGGTAGTTCAAGTCCAAGTTCAGTAAACTTTGTCATGACATGTGCCAGGCTCCAATCACACTCATCACCTGTTACTCCCAATCTCCCTCATTAAATAAACAATTTAAATTTAAATGCTGTAACATTTTCAATAAACAACCCATGCAGCATGGATTTTGTTTATTGAAAATGTTACAGTATTTAAATTTAAATTGTAGAGAAGTGCAGCAGGACGTCGAAGGATGTCGCACAGCCTCAGCAGAAATGTTCTTCTTGATCAGTTACACTGAAACAACTGAACAGACGTTCTAAAATAATTAAAAATAACTTTTAACACTTTTGTATTTTGTGATTATGACGATTTTACGATGTGACATCACAAAGATGCAGCGGAAGAAATGTGTGTGCGTGGCAGAGAAGGAGATCAGCTGATCAGCTGCAGGAGACAGCTTTCCCTGCACTTGTGGGCAGCACACGTGGTGCAAAATTATTAAAAATAATTTATTTTAAATAAAAAAATCCATGGCTCATCCATCAATCAGCCAATTTTGTCATGTCCAATCTTACTTTGAAAAACCGTGATGGAGCGAATTCGCAAAAAACGAACCGCAAAGTAGCGAGGGACGTGTGTATATACATATCTATATATATATATATATATATATATATGGAAGTATTTTACAATGCTTTTTTTCTCAAAAATTCAATCAAGACCTTGTTTGGTTAACGACAACACAGCCGTCTGTTTTATTTATTACACGGTGAAAACTCGAACGGTTCAGCTTTTGCTCTTGTGTAACGTTGTAATGGAGTTTTATCCATTCTGGTGTATACTGCTCTGATCCGCGGCGCTTTTGTGTCACCTTTTTAGAATAGAATAGAATAGAATTCAACTTTATTGTCATTGCACGTGTCACAAATACAAAGCAACGAAATGCAGTTTGCATCCATCCGGAGCCGTCATAGATGAGCAACCTTAGAAAACAAACAAAAATGCTCTTAACTGCCATATTTCCAGATATTGAGTTCAGATTTGGTGCGGTGGTAGCTGAGGCTGAAAACTCGACTCATCGGTTGTTTTTTAAAACTTTGCCTTTGACCGTTGGCGTCGACTGTGTGCGCCGTTTGTAAATATGAAGTTAGAAATTGTTGTGGCAGCAGCAAAGAATCATTTACAACATTTATAACACGTTAAGTCAGGTCCTCTGGATGGGTTCAAAAATAAAAAAATTATAGAAATGTTTCGTCTTTCATCCAAAAAACTTCAGTTTTTTTAATTTTTGAACCCGTCCAGAGGACCTGACTTCACTTTTTTTTTAGATTTTGCTACCTGGATGACTGAGCATGCATGAGGACATTTACAACATACTGTACTTGAAGCGTCAACAGATCGTGCACAATATTTTCAAGTTTGACCTACATATTCATGCATTTACATGTTTTGGAACACATGCAACGCACGTCAGACTTATCGGAGGGAGCTACCGTACCTTTTGTTGATCCTAAAATCAATCTGAAGTTGTCCGAATGTGTTTGTTGTAACCCGAGAGCAGCACGCTGCAGCTTTCCCTCTGCATCAAGCAGCTCTAAGTGCTCAGTCTGATCCTGTTAGGTCCAGTAATCAGGAAGCCTTACAGTCTAATTCACTCTAATGGCCTGTTCAGACTGTTTTAAGCCAATTAAATTTACAGTCATCAGTGTTCAGAGACCAGACGGCTCGGGCGAGATCAAAGCCGCTCACCTTCACTGATCCGGGCTCAGTCCTCTTCAGTTTTCCAGTTGACGTGTGACATTTCAAAGGTTGTTTGGGCCAGCTGTTTCTAACTATACAGCTGTTTTCATCTGCAGCTCTCCCCCTGAACACTAGAGGGCGCCAAGCGTCAGAGAAAGAGTCTGCAGGTGACTGACTCAACACTTTGCACAAGTAACGTCACTGCCAGCCTATAGGAGCGTGCAGCTGCTGGTGGCAGGGAGGAGGATCCATTTTTATTTATTTATGAGGAGAGCTGTGCCAAGAAGGCACGGCGTGGTGGAGGGGGGAGAGAGAGAGGCACGGCTCCAGTGAGAACACGTTCAGATTAGTTGTGTGCTTTCAGGGGGCTGTGGATCAAAACGACAAAGTGCTGAGGTGTCAGAATGTTCAGTGTCCTTGTCCCCACGTGATGCGAAGTTATTCCTGCGTTCAGTTCAAGTGAAAGTAGTTTGTAATGGCAGGAAGCTGTGAGCACAGCAGGGCCGAGGCACAGATTGTGCTGCAGGGTGCATTGATTTGTGAATCTTCGTTTCCTCCGTTCATCCAGAGTCGATATCCTCCTCCGTCCTCTGCTGCTCTCTGACCTGCTCTTCCTGCTGCAGACCTTTTTACTTTCAAACACAAAGATGCTTTCAGTGTGCAGAACCCTCCTGCTGCTTCCTGCAACAGATATCAGCACACATCAATATCCGCCAAATCTTTTTTCTCCTTTTACCTGCGGTTCTTGTGACGGCCATTGCTGGCCTCAATCGAAGCCTTAGTCAAAATTTAAGGCATCCTTGACGGAGTCGATAATTTTATATCGATGAACTTCAGTTAATCTGTCGAGCAGGTTTTCATCTGAACGTTTAACTTAAAGGAGAGGATTTAAATAATATTAACACCTGCCTTTAAATTGAATGTGCTGCCTATACATCAACCCATTTACGAAATTTAATAAACAGTTTTCCTTTACTCGTACTTTAGGCTTTTTAATTGATTACATCCAGTTTTAAGCAGATTATCACATTTTCACTGCAACAGTTTTTATCATTATGCTTTAGAAGCAACATCAATTTTAAGAAAGACGAAATAATTTATTTTTACTTTAGACTCTTTTGTGTGTTATTTTATTTAGTAGCTTAAAGTAATTGGCTGTTTAATTTGGGTTTTATGCAAACGAACAAATGATGAGTTATTAAATAGTTTGTTTCCAGCGGTTAGTGTGGTAGTCGCTGAGAGTCATCCCCAACACACACTCCGAGAACAACTTGGTTAAACAGTTTGGCACACAAGGCAGCGGGCAACATGCATTCCTTCAATGGATGCTACTTGTTTTTCACAAACCTGGTTATGTTTCAGTCTCCTCTGTTCACATCATCGTCATGGCAACAGCAGCTGAAAGTTTTATTTTCTTTGCGAATGCTGCCAATCAGCTTGACAAAGTTTTTAAGAATCTGCACTCATCTAACCTTTTTATATGAGCCAAAGTTCAGTTGTAAAATACTTAAATTTGTTACTGAAGTCACGTTTCTTGTTTTCTTTTTACAGTCGACATTTAATTTAGTCCTAAATTCAAGGCAAACGTCTTGTTTTTATAAAACGCAAACAGATGTTGTTGTTCTTTCATAGATTTTTCTTTGCTTCATTTTCTTTTGATGTTTGAGGTTATTTAGTGAGTTTACGATTCTGAACTTATTTCAACTCTGAGGATCTTCTTCTTCTTCTTCTTTCGGCTTTTCCCTCTTCAGGAGTCTCCACAGTGAGTCATCCTCCTCCATCTCACTCTGTCCTCTGCGTCCTCTGTCCTCACTCCAACTACCTTCTTGTCCTCTCTAACTGCATCCATAGATCTCCTCTTTGTCTTTTTCCTGGCAGCTGCATTTCTAACATCCTTCTACCAATATACCCACTGTCCCTCCTCTGGACATGTCCAAACCACTGTCCCTCCTCTGGACATGTCCAAACCTGTTCAACACAGTGGTACTTTTCATTCATTCAACCTTTATTTAGACAGATTAAGGACATTGAGCCTCGGGGACTCATTTACAAGTGAGACCCGTTTAGACGGACAAAAAAACACAATGGTACTTCTAGTTATTTAACTGTCAATAATGGTGTACCACAAGGCTCAGTCTTAGGACACACTCTCTTTACAATGTACATAAGTAATACTGGTCACATCATTCCTGACGCATCCTTGCATTTCTATGCCGACGATACAGTTATTTAGTGTCGAGCTAAAACAGTTGCTAAAGTTTTCCAGCTTTTACAATCTTCGTTCGACATCATCCAGTCAGATTTGGACGTTATATGACAGACATGTCTCTCCTCTGGACATGTCCAAACCATCTCAGTGTGTCCTCTCTAACTTTATCTCCCAGTTGTTCAACATGTGCTGTACCTCTGATGATCTCATTCCTGATCTTCTCCATCCTTCTCTCTCTTAACGAGAACCTCAACATCTTCATTTCTGCCACTTTCAGTTCTGTCTCCTGTCTTTTTGTCCACGTCTCTGTCTCCAGACATACAACATAGCTGGTCTCACCACTGTCTTGTAAACCATTCCTTTGACCTTTGCGGACACTTTTGTCACAAGAGGATAAATGATAAAAATATACACTTGGTGCTTTTTTTAATTATCTTAACACTACATTAGAGATGTAGATGGACTCAGTCCTGAGACAGTTTTAAGACTTTAGAAAATGCACAGAAAGGGACTTCTGCAGACTTTGTAAGTTCTCCAGCCTCCACAAGTCACATCTCCTTGAGTCTGTTTGCTAAAATAAAGGTGTTAAAGTTGAAGGGGGGAAAAACAGGGTGAGAACGAAAGAGGAGCAATGTGCCAAGAGAAACAGAATTAGATGTGAGGTGAGAGCTTCACTTTGGAAGTCGGCATGAGAGGAA